TTATTTAATATTAATAAAATTTTTAATTTGCTAATAATTACTTGATTAATGTCTAACTGTAATTGATTTTATTTGCTGATAATTTGATTTTTTTGTGCTTATTCTTGAGGGTATTGATATGGGGTTTAGTAATTTATCTTTCCACTTTTTGATTGGTTTTTTATGTATAATAAAATATAATCTGTAAAAGTATTTTATTTTTCAAATTCAAATTTGTATACAATGTAATCAATCTTATCGAGACATGATTGACTCAATCGGTTAGATTTATACAATTATAAAATATATTTTCAATTAAATTTAGCCATATGCCAAAAAATTATATATTTAAAAATAATAATATTTTTATTTAAAAAATAGTAAAAAGTAATCCTACTTTAAATAGAATCAGAAATATTGATATAGTTTAATTTAAAATCAAAAAATATAAAAACAAATATAAGAATATAAATAGGTAAATATTTGATTGATTTCTTTGATTTTTTTGTTTGAAAGTTATAACTTATGAAAGAGTAAAAATAGTTCAAATCTTATTATGAGAAATAATCCATAACCATTTTCAAAAATATATATTTGAATAGTAAAATACTATTAAAAGTAAAAATTAATCAAATTTAAATAGGAATAATAAAACTAATAAAATCAAAATATGTGATAAAATTTAATTATAATCAAATAACAAAAACATAAAAATTCAACTAAATAAATGATATTCTTCTCGATCAATAGTTTTGCATTAACATTCTTACTATGATGTTAATAGGTGATCTAATTTTGTTCATCACAATTCAATATTTTTCCGACAGATTTATAAAAAAAAAATCATAAACCCGCATGTATGCGGGTCCTTCATCTAGTATATATATATTATCTATACTAATATTTGCGAAGTCAAAAATCCTATGTGGCACATCGAGAGTCACTCTCAAACTTGGTCTTCCGAAAATACCCTTAATGACTCTCAAAATTATGGTGGAATGCCATTGAGTATTTACAAAATCGGTGGGCTCATAAACATMTGGAAATCGGTGYGCTCAAAATCYTGTTTGCTTCTGCTAGCCCATATAATTGAAACCCTAAATATTTTCTATACATACAGATGTATATACATGGTTCGTCTCTTTTTTGTGTCCGGTCGATGGTTTCTAGGTTTGATATTCGCATGTGGTCAAAGTTCTCCGTGAGGCTCTCGAAGAAAAGAGTTCGAGGAGGATTTCATGGCGGTGTTAGGTCACCGACCAACGCGACGGTCTAAGAAACGACCAAGAACCGTTCAAAGAAAACTCAAATGTAAGTCTCGAACCTTTGTGATTTGATCCCAAATTTGTTTGATTTTTTTATTGATCTGACAAAATTTATTTTCACTGAGCACAAAAAAAATTTCAAATCATAACCATGCACCTAGCATGAATGGTTAAGCTTTTGTAGTTGGAAATTACAAAAAGTTTGTGTAATCTATGTTTTCTTAAGTTGGATATAATTTTTAATTTGTTCTTGTCCTATCAAACCGAGGGAGATTTGTGGCCGTCACGTAATCTTTCCACACTACAATTYGCAAGGTATGATTTTTTTCATAGATGTGTATTTATATTTTTAATGTTTTGGCTTTCTTTACGTTTTCAAAAATCTTAATCCGTTGAATTGAAAAAAATATTAAGAACTTGCAGAGAAGAGAGAAAAAGTAAAAAGGTAAAAAAACAAAAAAATAATCACATATTAACTAAAGTCTTATGTCTTTTGAGATAAATAGAAATCATTGAGTTATGTTGCTTCCTAACTCAGTTTTGTT